TAGAGACGGGGTTTCACCATGTTGACCAGGATGGTCTCGATCTCTTGACCTCGTGATCCACCCGCCTCGGCCTCCCAAAGTGCTGGGATTACAGGCTTGAGCCACCGCGCCCGGCCCATTACTGTTGTTTCGAAGAAGGGAGATATTACTTTTGATTGACATAGTTCATCCACTATTTATCAAACAGCAATTGCTTACTATATATATGCTGCCTCCAAGCAGGCAGATTCATCGACGAAAAGCACAAAGCTCCTGCCACTTAAGGACAAACAGACATCCAGGCAAAGAAATGTAATAAACCAATGGGGCATGATTGTAGCAGAGGCAGATGCATGGTGGAGGGGAAGTAATTCTGTCTGAGGAGTTGAGAAAAGCTGTCCTTGAGCTGGATCTTGAATCAGTAGGAGCTCATGAGGTTGAGCGGAAGAACAGGAAGGGCCAGCAGCAGAGGTATAGCATGTACAAGATGCAAAGGCCTGAAAAAGCCTAGTGTGTTGTTGTGAGACTGGCAGGTGTTTGAAGGCGGATGTGGCTGGAGGGTGAAGCGGGTGGTGGCTGATAAGAATGGAGAAGCAAGCTGTTTTATCCTCTTTATGCGTGAGAAGGAACTGACTTCAGGCCGGGCACAGTGACTCACGCCTGCAATCCCAGCACTTTGGGAGACCTAGGCATGCATATCACCTGAGGTCAGGAGTTCAAGACCAGCCTGGCCAACATGGTGAAACCCTGTCTCTTCTAGAAATACAAAACTAGCAGGGTGTGGTGGTGGACACCTGTAATCCCAGCTACTGGGAGGCTCTGGCAGAAGAATTGCTTGAACCTGACAAACAAACAAAACCACACACACACACACACACACACACACACACACACAAAAGGAATTGACTCAAGCTGTTTAGAGCCATGAGGGTCTGTGAGTGAGATACTATGTTTCTAGGGAGTTATGTTGGACCATCTCAAAGACGGCTTCTGACCTCACAGTTTTCAACCTTTTTTTTTTTTTTTTTTTTTTTGAGACAGAGTTTCGCTCTTGTTACCCAGGCTGGAGTGCAATGGCGCGATCTCGGCTCACCGCAACCTCCGCTTCCTGGGTTCAGGCAATTCTCCTGCCTCAGCCTCCTGAGTAGCTGGGATTATAGGCACGCACCACCATGCCCAGCTAATTTTTTGTAGTTTTAGTAGAGACGGGGTTTCACCATGTTGACCAGGATGGTCTCGATCTCTTGACCTCGTGATCCACCCGCCTCGGCCTCCCAAAGTGCTGGGATTACAAGCGTGAGCCACCGCGCCCGGCCAGTTTTCAACCTTTTTTATATTTATTTATTTATTTTTTTAAGTCAGTCTCCATAGAGACTGTCAAAAATTGCCAGTGCTGACTGTATTGCGAGTCGTCACCACGGGGTATTGGGAAAAGTTTTCAATTAGCAATAATCGCACCTCGGACAAACCTCATTGGCTACGATACTGCCACTGTGCAAAGCTTTTCTTATTTATTTTTAGAGACAGCGTCTTGGTCTGTCTCCTAGGCTGGGATGCAGTGGTGCCACCATCACTCACTGCCGCCTCACAACCTCCTGGACTCACGTGATCCTCTTGCTTTTGCTTCCCTTAAGTGTTGGCACTTGATGGGACTTACAGGGACACATCAGGAGTCCCAGATAATTTTTTTTTTTTGAGACAGTCTCACTCTGTCATCCAGGCTGGAGTGCAGCTGCGCTGTCTTGGCTCACTGCAACCTTGCCTCTCAGGTTCAAGAGATTCTTGTGCCTCACTCCTCCAAGTCTGTGACTACAGTCATGCACCACCTCGCCTGGTTAGTTTTTGTATTTTTAATAGAGATGAGGTTTCACCATGTTGACCTGGCTGGTCTTGAACTCCTGACCTCAAGTGATCCACCGGCCTCAGTCTCCCAAAGTGCTGGGATTACAGGTGTCAGCCACCACACCTGGCCTGTTAGTTTTTTTGAGGCAGAGTCTTGCTTTGTCACCCAGACTGGAGTGCAGTGGGCCAGTCTCGGCTCACTGCAACCTGTGCCTCCTAGGTTCAAGTGATTTCTCATGCCATAGCCGCCATTTCTCATGCCATAGCTGATATTACAGGCATGAGCCACTGTGCCCAGCCAGGCCCAGATAATTTTAAAATTTATTTATGTCTTTATTTTGAAATGGGGTCTTACTATGTTGCCCAGGTTGGCCTTAAACTCTTATCCTCAAGCAATCCTCCCTCCTTGGCCTCCCAAAGGGCTAGGTGACAGGCATGAGTCATTGCACCGAGCCTTGAGCTTTCGTGCTAGAGATAAAGTCTGTTCAGAACCTCTGGTTGGCACTTTTTATCTGGCACATGCAGGGCACCTTGGACCTCTTATCTTTGAGCACTGGTCTGAACCCCAATCTCTACCCACTTGCTCTGCTTCTTACAGCCCCATGCACCTCTTGTTCCTAGGGTGGGGATGGGGATGGATGCCTTGGGCTGCAGAAGGGACTGGCAGAGGATAAGCCTTTCTACACCGTTTTCTCTGTTATTACTTAAGATACTGGGTTTTGCTTTCTTCTAAGTACACAGCAATCTTGGCTTCCAGCCTCGGTGGGAAAGGGAGAAAGAACCGATTTCCTCCAGCTCCTCTCTGAAAATAACCCAACTGGCGCTGTTTAGGAACAAGGAGTTCCGGAGAGTGTTGGCACTCCATGGTGTTGATGTCCGGTAGTTTCCTGCTCTGAACCTTGTCTCTGCCCCACTTCAATCCAAGGACCCTGTGGAGGGAATTCTAGAGGTCTTCAAAGAGTCTGCAGTACCAGCTGCCTCCAAGGCCTAATATAGTGAAGTGATAGGGAGACAGGACCTTGGGGGAGTTTGGGTAATCTGTGCCCTGTAAGGTGGGTAAGAGTCTGGCCGTGGCATCTTCTGGTCTATTCTAGGAAAAAGGTGGATGCCTCTGATTCCCAGCTCTGTTACGTTCTTTACAGCCCAGTCAGTCTCTTCTGGATGTCTGATTCCTAGCTGCTAAACATCCAGCTGGGGGTGGGGTAGGATAAGAAGGGGGGCGTCTACCTCCACTCTCCTGTCCAAACGTCGATTTTAAAGTACTGTGAAGAAGACTGGATTAGCGTTAATTCAATAAAGTTAACGAAGCAAAGTATTGTAGTGAGTACACCATAAATAGTTGCTGCATGAGGAAGTACCTGAAATAAACTCAAGAAGAGTCTTGCAAAACGAGTGGGAGTAAGCCCTGCACGGAAGCAGAGGTCTACACCAAGTCCCAGAGGCCTGGGAGGGCAAGCCTTGGGGAAAAGACAGAAGCTGTGTCTGGCGGCCTCTGAGAGTGTTAGCAGCCATGCAAAGCTGGGAATACCAGGCGGTGGCCAGAGCCCTGAACCAGGGGCGAGTAGAGGATGGTGTTGGGATAGTCACTAGCCTGCCGGAATGGGCGAAGAGGTAGGGGCCTTTGGAGGCGGTTAAGCCTAAGGGACGCTGGAGGGGCCTCGGGATTTGGGGCTGGATCACAGGCCTCTTCCACTTAAAGGTGGCTCCGTGCCAAGCCGTCCCAGCCTCAGCTGAACCTCAGGGTTAGACAGGTTGGAGATGAGAAATAGGACGACGCAGGAAGTACTGTCGGAGGCGTGTTCCTGACTTTACTACCCTGAGCCGCCCACAACGGCTGGGGCCGTCGCCGAGGTTCCACCTTAAGGGGCGGGGCGGGGCGGGGCTCGGCTCGGCTCCACTGCCTCCACCCTGAGGCCGCGCCCGCTGCCGAGCAGATGTACTAGAGGAAGCTGCGCGTAGTCACACCGGCCAGGGAGATCGTTCTGTGTCCGGAGGTCCGGGTAGGGGTTGAGCCACCATCTGACCGCAGTCTGAGTTGTGTCGCCGGTTCTGCAGGCACCATGAGTCAGGACACCGAGGTGGATATGAAGGAGGTGGAGCTGAATGAGCTAGAACCCGAGAAGCAGCCGATGAACGCGGCGTCTGGGGCGGCCATGGCCGTAGCGGGCGCCGAGAAGAATGGTCTGGTGAAGATCAAGGTGGCGGAAGACGAGGCGGAGGCGGCAGCCGCGGCCAAGTTCACGGGCCTTTCCAAAGAGGAGCTGCTGAAGGTGGCAGGCAGCCCCGGCTGGGTGCGCACCCGCTGGGTGCTGCTGCTGCTCTTCTGGCTCGGCTGGCTCGGTATGCTGGCAGGTGCCGTGGTCATAATCGTGCGGGCGCCGCGCTGTCGCGATCTACCCGTGCAGAAGTGGTGGCACACGGGCGCCCTCTACCGCATCGGCGACCTTCAGGGCTTCCAGGGCAACGGCGCGGGCAACCTGGCGGGTGAGTGCAGCGCGTGCCTGTCCTTGGTTGAATCTGTGGCCTGCACAGACCCCCTCACCTGTCCCTAGAGTGATCTAGCCGGTTCTCCCCTCCATCCGGTACCCAGGACTGTTCCCCTCCCCACACCCCTCCCCGCACATTGTCCTTCCCTCCTTTCTTTGAAGAAAGCCGACCCGCCCCTCACTCTGTCACGAGGGTGGGTGACTCAGCGTCCTCACTCCCAGCGGCGCCTGGAGCCAGTTGCAACCGGTTTCTGAAGTAACTTGCAGGGCTCCTTACATCAGCTCCTGAGTCTCGTGATTCAATCTCACCTCCCCCTTTCCCCCGTCCCCCCTCCCAGTCCCACCCTTAGGCTCTGGGGGAAGGGAGAGTGGGGAGGTCTGGGGCCCCTCAGAGGAGACTTACCTGTTAACCCAGCCCCCCATTTCAGGTCTGAAGGGGCATCTCGATTACCTGAGCTCTCTGAAGGTGAAGGGCCTTGTGCTGGGCCCAATTCACAAGAACCAGAAGGATGATGTTGCTGGGACCGACTTGCTGCAGATCGACCCTAATTTTGGTTCCAAGGAAGATTTTGCCAGTCTCTTGCAATCTGCCAAAAAAAAGAGTGGGTATCTTGGGGTTCCCAAGGAAACAAGTAGAAAGGACTTGGCCAGAGGAAAAGTAGGATAAAAGTTTTAGCTTAACTGGCTCTGAGTTTTCCTAGGGCAGGTAGAGGGAAGAGTTGGTTGTCTTCAGCCTAAAATGGATTTATTTGTCCAGTCGTTTGGGGGCTTTCTACTTGGCTGTGGAATCTTGAACAGGTCATTTAACTTCTGGGCTTCAATGCCCTTATTTGCAAAATGTAGATATTTACTAAATCAGTGGTTTGAGACTTGTAAAACAATATGTTCTTTTGGGGGTTGGAAATCCCAAATGTTGTTTTACAACTCAGTATAGACACATGTTTAAAAAGGTTGACTTTGGGAGTGGGGAACACAGGGTCCACTTCTCTGCACTATAAACTTTCTGCTTTCCAATGTCTTTTTTTTTTTTTTTTTTTTACAATGGAGTCTCGTTCTGTCACCGAGGCTGGAGTGCAGTGGCATGATCTCAGCTTACTGCTGCAACCTCCTCCCCTGGGGTTCGAGTGATTCTCTTGGCTCAGCTCCTGAGTAGCTGCAACTACAGCCATGTGCCACCATACCTGGATAATTCTGGATAATTTTTTCCCCCCTGAGATGGAGTCTTGCTCTTTTGCCCAGGGTGGAGTACAGTGGTGTGAGATCTTGGCTCACTGCAACCTCTGCCTCCCCAGTTCAAGCAATTCTCCTGCCTCATCCTCCTGAGTAGCTGAGATTACAGGTGCCCACCACCACACCGGCTACTTTTTTGTTTTTAGTAGACACGGGGTTTCACCATGTTGGCCAGGCTGGTCTCAAACTCCTGACCTTGTGAGCCACCACACCCGGCAATTTTTTTATTTTTAGAGATGTTTTTCACCATGTTTGCCAGGCTGGTTTTGAACTCCTGACCTCAAGTGATCCGCCTGCCTCGGCCTCCCAAAGTGCTGGGATTACAGGCATGAGCCTCCACACCTGGCCTGCCTTCCAATATCTTAAGGCCCTTCCTTGCTCACATCTATTTCAATGGGATGAATTTTGCCAGGGTTCAGATTCAAGCTTTTGTACCAAATAATACATAGGAAACACTCAGTGACTTGCGTTTGTGATTTCCTTATTTCTCCTTAACCCCTAGACTGTCTCATGACTGCCTCTTCCTCCGTTGTTCTAGGCATCCGCGTCATTCTGGACCTCACTCCCAACTATCAGGGTGAGAACTCATGGTTCTCCACTCAGGTTGACACTGTGGCCACCAAGGTGAAGGTGAGTGTTGGAGCTGATGGCTGGTGGAAGTCAGATGCTGGGGCTGGGATGGTCCCTTCACAGCAAGCCCTGTAGACCCAGCCTGGCTCCAGTTGAAGGGTCCCTTTGCTCCTTGGGGCCAAGCAGGAATGCCTCCTCCCGTAGTCGAAGGATAGGCCAATAGCACACCTCTGTTTTTCTTGTTCCTTTTCTGATCTCTTATATTTCTTATTTCCTTGACTCTGAGGATGAGACAGTGCCAGGAAGGGACCTTCTCAGATGTCAGTCTGGAAGTTTGATTTTTCTTTCTTTTGGGAGAGGAAGCTCTTTGTCTGTGGGAATCCTATCCTGACTGGTTTCCCACTTCTTGTTTGATGTGTTTGGAATAGAGCCCAGTCTGAAATTATAAGCACTGGGTTACTCCTATGTGTCTGGGACTATGCCGAGTATCTTATAGATGTTTTCTAATTCCCTGTATAACTGTATCTCATTTGCCATAGGCTCAAATCTATACCCGGCAGGCTAGGAGTAGGGCTTTGAATGTCACTCTAGCTCCTGATGCCTGGATCCTAGGACACTGACTTGTTCAGAATGGGTAGAACAAAAATGGAGGCGGATACTGACACTGCTGGTAGCTGTCATTCTGAGATAGAATTCTAGACTCCCAGCATTTGGGTAGGACCCGGGGATTGTCCAGTTTAGGCCTTGCCTAGGGGACCTTCTAAAAGTTACTGATAAGGGAATGTTTTTGGATGTTTTGGTGTGAGGGGTGGTACGCTCACATGGAAATGGAGACCAGAGGACAGAGCAGGGGCCCAGGGAAAGGGAAGAAAGGGAGAGTGGGGGGAAGTTCCACATTGTGCATCAGATGACTGCCAGGGCTCTATTCTGCAGCACTGGCCTCTTTTCAAATCGAAACTGCCCTGAGGCTGTGCTTTGAATTTCAATCTTTGATCCTTGGTCTTGCTCTGAGCAGCTGTTGTACTCACTCCTTCCCCAGACCTCAGTAAACTGGGAGAGGGGGGATCTTGACTGACATTTTAGATCCTGTCTGCTGCTCACTGATTATGACCCACGGACATGTCTCCCTGCTTCTCTGTTTCTTCATCTCTAAAACAGATATACTAACGTTCCAATACTAAGTGTTAAACGAAGTTATGTTTGTGGACATCTTCTCTGGGCCCCTCTCTGTAGCTTTCAAAGGTGAAGGTGTGTGATTTGCCAGAGGCAGGAATAGAGAACTAAAATGCCATAGCACTAAGAAAATCAGTGGAAGGGTAGAACTGGAGGGGTGCCAGGGCCAAGCCCTTGTAGTGCAGGTGGGGAAGACCCAGGCAAGGCACAAGGCTCTCCCTAGGTCCTGGGGAAGTGTGTGGTGGGTGAGGTTTAGTGTGGGCTGGAATTTTTGGAGCCTTTTCCTGAGAATTGATGTCTGTCCTCTACTATTCTGCCCCCTATAGGATGCTCTGGAGTTTTGGCTGCAAGCTGGTGTGGATGGGTTCCAGGTTCGGAACATAGAGAATCTGAAGGTGAGTTCCCTTTCCATATTAGGGACAAAGCTTGGGTGAGAACAGAGGGACTCAGAAGCTGGGGATACCTTCTGTTTCTTGATTCTGCTTTTCTTTCTAGGATGCATCCTCATTCTTGGCTGAGTGGCAAAACATCACCAATGGCTTCGGTGAAGATAGGTGGGTACAGGCACCATTTTGCTGACTCAGCTCCATTGTGGGAACCCCTCAGTGGAGTGCTAGGCCTAAGAAGTGGGGGTTCCTAGTCTAGAGAGCTTTCTTTATCCTTTTCTTTCTTTTTTTTTTTTTTATTAAATTTTTCCTCCGCTAAGAGTCATATTCTTTTCTTCCTTGACGGAGTTTTGCTCTTCTTGCTCAGGCTGGAGTGCAATGGCGCGATCTCCACTCACTGTGACTTCCTCCTCCTGGGTTCAAGTGATTCTCCTGCCTCAGCATCCCAAGTAGCTGGGAATACAGGCATGCACCACTATACCTGGCTAATTTTACATTTTTAGTAGAGATGGGGTTTCACTATGTTGGTCAAGCTGGTCCTGAACTCCTGATCCCAAGTGATCCACCTGCCTCGGCTTCCCAAAGTGCTGGGATTACAGGTGTGAGCCATGGCCCCTGGCCCCATTCTTTCTTATACCAACCTTGACCCCCTCTCTCCCCTCTGCAGGCTCTTGATTGCAGGGACTAACTCCTCCGACCTTCAGCAGATCCTGAGCCTACTCGAATCCAACAAAGACTTGCTGTTGACTAGCTCATACCTGTCTAATTCCAGTTTCACTGGGGAGCATACAAAATCCCTAGTCACACAGTATTTGAATGCCACTGGCAATCGCTGGTGCAGCTGGAGTGTGAGTACCATGCTGGTGGGAAAGGGGGCAGGTGGGCTTTGGGAGAAAGGGTTGTTGGGAGAGGGAGGCAGGGGTGGGTGACGGGGCTCACTGGAGTCTCTCCTTGTAGTTGTCTCAGGCGGGGCTCCTGACTTCCTTCCTGCCGGCTCAACTTCTCCGACTCTACCAGCTGATGCTCTTCACCCTGCCAGGGACCCCTGTTTTCAGCTACGGGGATGAGATTGGCCTGGAAGCGGCTGCCGTTCCTGGACAGGTACTGTTTGCTGTCTGTCCATCAAAGGGAATTTGTTTATCCATCTTAACATGATTCTGAGGATGGCAGCAGAGAGACATTAGCCTTGGGTGAAACTGCATTTGATTCCTAGTTGGTAGCTGAGTGTCTGTGTGGCTTTGGGCAAATTATTTTACCCTTCTGAATTTTGTCATCTCTTGTGTTACTGTAGTTTCTGAAGGGTGGTTAGGATTAAATGAGGGCATGTTTTTAATGGTAATGCCTGGTACCTGGAAGATGTTTAGTATGGTAGTCACCATTTATTCATTCGTTCCTTTATTCTTTGGACAGAGGGTACTGTGCTAGATTCTGTGCCCTCAGGGGCTCATAGTTTAGTGAGGGAGCCAGACAAATAAGGGAGAAGTACAAGGCAGTGGCTGGGCATGGTGGCTTATGTCTGTATTCCCAGCACTTTGGGAGGCTGAGGTAGGTGGATCAACCAGCCTGGCCAGCATGGTGAAACCCTGTCTCTACTGAAAATACAAAAATTAGCTGAGTGTGATGGTGCACACCTGTAGTCCCAGCTACTGGGGAGGCTGAGTCAGGAGAATCGCTTGAACTGGGAGGCAGAGTGAATCGAGATCGTGCCACCACACTCCAGCCTCGGCAACAGACTGAGAAGCCTTCTCAAAAGAAAAAGAAAAAGAAAAAAAAGAAGCATATGGTAGGGGTGCTACTACAAAGGCATTCGATAGCTTTAGACACGGGGTTACTGTTGGTCTTTGACATTTTTTTTCTTCGAGATAGCATTTCACTATGTCGCCCAGGCTGGAATGCATTGGCATGATCTTGGTTCACTGCAGCCTCTGCGTCCCAGGCTGAAGTCGTCATTCCACCTCAGTCTCCTGAGTAGGTGAGACTACAGGTGCATGCCACTATGCCCAGCCAATCTTTTTGTTTCTTTACTTTAGAGACAGGGTCTTGCCCTGTCGCTCAGGCTGGTGGTGCGATTATGTCTCACTGCAACCTTTGACTCTTGGGTTCAACCAGTACTCCCACCTTAGCCTGTTGTTGCCCAGGCTGGTCTTCAACTCCTGGGCTCCATCGATCTGCCTGCCCTGACCTCCCAAAGTGCTGAGACTACAGGTGTGAGCCACTGTGCCTGACTGCAGCGAATTTTAAAAATCCATAGAGGCGTGGTCTCATTATGTTGCCCGAGCTGGTCTCAAACTCCAGGATGCAAGTGATCCCCTGACCTTGGCCTCCCAAACCGCTGGGATTACAGGTGTGAGACACTGCACCCAGCCATCAGCATGATGTGTATAGAACCAGTTACTCATTTAGTCCGTGGATTTATCTGTTAACACTGAGGATACAGCATTGCATAAGTGAGCTGGAGGTGGTTAGGTAATTAGATATGCATAAATAAAATGCCAGCTGCTGATGAGTGCTATGCAAAAGAAGGCAGGGTAAGGAGCCTAGAGAATAGGGGGTGATGGGGTTTGTTCTTTTTTTTTTTTTTTTTTTTTTTTTTTGAGACAGAGTCTTGTTCTGTTACCCAGGCTTGAGTGCAGTGGCTTGATCTTGGCTCACTGCAACCTCCGCCTCTCTGGTTCAAGCAATTTCCCTGCCTCAGCCTCCTGAGTATCTAGGACAACAGGCACACACTACCACGCCCAGCTAATTTTTGTATTTTTAGTAGAGACAGGGTTTCACCATGTTGTCCAGGATGGTCTCGATCTCCTGACCTTATCATGAGCCCCCCTCAACCTCCCAAAGTGCTAGAATTACAGGCAGGAGCCACCACGCCGGCTGGGGCTTGTTTCACAGGGAGTAGCCACAGGAAACCTGGTGAGATAACCAAGCAAAGACCTGAGGGAAGTGAGAGCTGACTTGAGCCATCTGCGAGCTCTGTCGGCTGAGGGGTAACAGCGTATATGTGAAAACCCTGAGGTGGGAGCTTGCCTTGCTTGTCCAGTCGTTAGCCAGGCTGGCCGTGGTGGCTTATACCTGTAATCCCAGCACTTTGGGAGGCTGAGGTGACTGGGTCACCTGAGGTAAGGAGTTCTAAACCACCCTGTCCAGCATGGTGAAACCCCATCTCTACTAAAAATACAAAAAAATTACCTGGGTGTGGTGGCACGTGCATGTAGTCTCAGCTCCATGGGAGGCTGAGGCAGGACAATTGCATGAACCCAGGAGGCAGAGGTTGCAGTGAACTGAGATGGCACCACTGCACTCCAGCCTGGGCAACACAGCGAGTCTCTATCTCAAAAAAAAAAAAAAAAAAAAAAAAAAGCCAGACCTGAGTCAGGGGGCTTATATACCAATAAGGATGGGAATGGGAAGAGGGATAAAGGACAGTGGGCCCAGGGTTTTTTTTTGAGACAGGGTCTCACTCTGTTGCCCAGGCTGGAGTGCAGTGGCACAGTCATGGCTCACTGCAAGCTCAAATTTCTGTGTTCAAGTGATCCACCCTCCTCCGCCTCCCCAGTAGCTGGGACTATAAGGACGTAATACTACACCAGCTAATTAAAAAAAAATTTTTGCCAGGGATGAGGGCTTGTTACGTTGCCGAGGCTGTTTTTTTTTTTTCTTTTTTTCTTTTTTTTTTTTCGAGACGGAGTTTCGCTCTTGTTACCCAGGCTGGAGTGCAATGGCGCGATCTCGGCTCACCGCAACCTCCATCTCCTAGGTTCAGGCAATTCTCCTGCCTCAGCCTCCTGAGTAGCTGGGATTACAGGCACGTGCCACCATGCCCAGCTAATTTTTTGTATTTTTAGTAGAGACGGGGTTTCACCATGTTGACCAGGATGGTCTCGATCTCTTGACCTCGTGATCCACCCGCCTCGGCCTCCCAAAGTGCTGGGATTACAGGTTTGAGCCACCGCGCCCGGCCTACGTTGCTGAGGCTGTTTTCAAATGCCTGAGCTCAAGTGATCCTCTTGGCTTGGCCTCCCGGAGTGCTGGAATTACAGATGTCAGCCACCATGCCTGACCCCAGGCCTTTTTAAAGTCCTGTTTTCTCTGCTTTTCAGCCTGTGGAAGCTCCAGTCATGCTGTGGGATGAGTCCAACTTCCCTTACATCTCAGCGGCTGTACGTGCCAACATGACTGTGAAGGTAAGAGTTTTAGATGGGCAGAACCTGACCAGTGGGGGGTGGGCTGGGCTTGTAGAAATCTGTACCTAGGGGACCTCCCTCACTCGCTTCTGCTACGTTTTTACCATTCTTAGGGCCAGAGTGAAGATCCTGGCTCCCTCCTTTCCTTGTTCCGGCGGCTGAGTGACCAGCGGAGTAAGGAGCGCTCCCTACTGCATGGGGACTTCCATGCACTCACCTCTGGGCCTGGATTCTTCTCCTATATCCGCCACTGGGACCAGAATGAGCGTTTCCTGGTAGTGCTTAACTTTGGGGACGTGGGTCTCTCGGCTGGGCTGCAGGCCTCCGACCTGCCTGCCAGTGCCAGCCTGCCAGCCAAAGCTGACCTCCTGCTCAGCACCCAGCCAGGCCGTGAGGAGGGCTCCCCGCTTGAGCTGGAAAGCCTGAAACTGGAGCCCCACGAAGGGCTGCTGCTCCGCTTCCCCTATGTGGCCTGACCCCAGCCTGACGTAAACCCACTGCCCTTCTCTTTTCCTCCCCAGGCCTTTAGGGTTCTCGTTTTTCTCTCTCTCTTTTTTTTTTTTAAAAAAAAACAGTCTTGCAGATTATAAGTGAACCCCCAAATAGGGTGTTTTCTTCCTTCAAATAAAAGTCACTCCTGCCTGGTGAGGTCTTGTCTTCCCTCTGCTTCTCTCGTAGTAGGAATTTCTCTTCCTCCTCCCCTCCCAGACCTACCCCATAGTGTTTTGGCTAGAGAGTTCCATGCATCTACTCCAACTCCTTCATTATTTACGTAGGGACCAAGGCTCAGAGAAGAGGGGCCCCCCAAAGTCAACAGCAAGAAAGTGTCAGGGCTGGGATAGCACCCGTGCCTCCTCACCCGTGCTGGGCCACGGGGCTCTCTGGACATCTTGGGTCTTGCCAACTCAAGCTCATCTCCCTCAGCAAAGGGCTCTAGTGAAGCATAGTTAGTTAGTTGTCCTGTTTTTGCAGACTTGGCCTTTCACGGAGAAAGAGGGGATGGGATGGTCTGTTTTGTTTTTTGTTTTTGAGACGGAATTTCGCTCTTTAGCCATGGCTGGAGTGCAGTGGGGCAATCTTGGCTCATTGCAACCTTTGCCTTCTGGGTTCTAGTGATTCTTCTGTCTCAGCCTCTTGAGTAGCTGGGATTACAGACGTCCACCACCACACCTGGCTGATTTTTGTATTTTTAGTGGAGATGGGGTTTCACCATATTGGCCAGGCTGGTCTCGATCTCCTGACCTCGTGATCTGCCCATATATTGGCTTCCCAAAGTGCTATATAGGCGTGAGCCACTGCGCCCTGCCGGGTCTGGTTTTTAAAAGGTATTTCTAAAAGATACTAGAGGTCATGCATTCAAGAATTGGTTGAACACTCAGCACATGCTAGAAACTCTCCATGTCCTGGGGTCATAGCAGGGAACACAGCACAAAAATTCCTGCCTCCTTGGGGCTGATACTCTTGTGGAGAGACAAAAAAGACACAGCAGTTACAGTACAGTGGACACGGTGACAGTGTTTTTCTGGAGGGAAAAGTAAAGCAGAAAAGGCGTCCCAGGGTGGTGGGGTGCAGAGGAGGCCTCCCCAAGGAGGTAACCTGAGTAAAGGAGTTCACCTGGTGAGTATCTGGGGAAGGCTTCCTGGGACTGGGGTGGGGCCTGGCTGATGTGAGAGAGGAGTAAGAGATGAGGTCTTACCAGCAAGGAGCGGGCAGATCATGACTGTTGTAATGAGGTGGTCACTTGGGGCGCAGAGAGTTTGGCAACCTACGTGGTTAGAGGGCATGGTCCCCACAAGTCTGTCCTCACTTCAATACCAGCTGCGAGTGCAGTGGTCCCCACGACCACCTTCAGGTAGGTAATAGGCTAGAGTGATTCACAGAACTCAGGAAGGTACTGGGATTATGGTTTTATTACAGCAAAAGCAAACCCAGAGCCAGCCAAAGGGAGAGAGAGCCTGGGGCAGGATCTGGGAGGGAGCTGAAGGGGAAGCTTCCCCCTGGCTTCTTGCAGTGGAGTACGTACGTCTTCCCGGCCATGATGGAGGTGTAACCAGAGAAGCTCCATCGATCCTTGGGTGTGCTGAGTTTCCCTTGCTGCTTAATCGCGTACTGCTCTGTGGCTGACCTTTAATCGTCAGCCCCAGCTGGAGCTTTGGGCTGAGGCCTTTAGTTGTCTTCATTTCTCCCAGAGGTTGCCTGTCCCAAAGCTCAGGTCGTAAATCACATTTATCACTGCCGCTCCTGTTAGCCAGGACATTCCGTGGGTCTAGAGGGCCAGTAGCCGAGGGTAAAGGCCAGACTGCCGAGTGAGATTAATTCTTCACTACCATAGGGTCCGAGGGAGTGGAATGGGAGTCAGTTGTTGGAGGGTTTTGAGCAGAGCGTCATGGTCTCACTTGGAATTTAACAGGCTTGCTAGCTGTTGACTAGCCTGCAAGCTGGGACGCCAGTAAAGATGGTTTGTTCCTGCAACCTAGGATGCTTTTGAGGATGGCAGTAGTGGAGGTAGTCAGAAGTGTTTGGGTCCTGTGTTTATTTTGCAGGCAGATCCGCAGTATTTGCTGTGGGATCCTGCTGCAGTACCAGTGATGTGCGCAGGCCTCATGGCCCTTGGGGTTAGTTTGGCTCTCCTAGCTTTCTTACAGAAAAGAATGGGGGCTGGACACAGTGGCTCAGGCCTGTAATCTCAGCTCTTTGTGAGGCTGAGGTGGGGGGAATCACCTGAGGTCAGGAGTTCGAGAACAGCCTGACCACCAATATGGCGAAACCCCGTCTCTACTAAAAATGTAAAAATTAGCCAGTTGTGGTGGTGGGCACCTGTTGTCTCAGCTACTGGGGAGGCTGAGACAGGAGAATCACTTGAACCTGGGAGGCGGAAGTTGCAATGAGCGAGATGGTGCCACTGCACTCCAGCCTGGATGACAGCAAGACTCAGTCTGGAAAAAAAAAAAAAAAAAGAATACGGGTCACTGGTGCAGGCTTCCCTTCCCATGGTCTGTGGCCTGGGGTGGGCCTGGGCCTCTGATCTCTAGGGGAGAGAGAGATCAAGAGATTAAAAGACCCAAATTAAAGCCCAGGATCCTGAGGTTGTCAGTCCAGTTCCTGAGAAGACACCCAGCCTGCTGGATCTTGGCTCCCCTCTGCCTAGGGTTTCTCTTCTCTCTCAGTAACCCCCCCCCCCCCCCACCCCACCTCCTGGCTCTTGCCTGCTCTGGGCCTCTTCCTGAAGCTCCCCACCCTTCCCTCTCCATGTCCTTTCCCAGGGTCCCAGCTCCAGCCCTCCCCCTTTCCTCCTTCCTCTGTCTCCTGGACTCCCCTCTTAGGCAGTTTTCATCATGGTGCTGTTACAGATGGAGCCTCATTATGGTTCTGTGCTTATTTAATTTTCATTTTTCCCCCTGTCCTAACCACTAAACCACCAGGGAGATTTTCACTTAAGAAAAATATGGTAAGGCCAGGTGGTGGCTCATGCTTGCGCCTCCTAGCACTTTGGGAGGCTGAGTCGGGAGTTTGAGACCAACCTGGGCAACATAGTGAGACCCCTGTCTCTACTTAAAAAAAGAAAATTAGCTGGGCATGGTTGCATGTGCCTGTAGTCCCAACTAACCTGGAAGCTGAGGCGGGAAGATCACTTCAACTCTGGAGGTTGAGGCTGCAGTGAGGTATGATTGCACCACTGCACTCCAACCTGGGTGACAGTGAGGCCCTGTCTCGAAAAAAAAAAAAAGGATTGTAAAATACTATTTATTTTTGAGACGGAGTCTTGCTCTGTTGCCCAGGCTGGAGTGCAATGGTGTGATCTGGGCTCACTGCAACCTCTGCCTCCCGGGTTCAAGCGATTCTCCTGCCTCAGCCTTCCGAGTAGCCGGGATTACAGGCATCCACCACCACATCCGGCTAATTTTTGTATGTTTAGTAGGGACAGGGTTTTGCCATGTAGGCCAGGCCGGTCTTGGAACTCCCGACCTCAAGTCATCTGCCCTCCTCGGCCTCCCAAGTGCTGGGATTACAGGTGTGAGCCACTGTCCCTGGCCATTAGCAAGCATTTTTGAGTTACTACGCTGTCTCTAGTACCATTCTCAACTTTCTGGGTACAGGGGTGAACAAGACCCTGTTCTGACATGATTTCCACCTCCAAAAGACCAAATGCTTGAAATTATAAGCACTGAGACCCTCTTAAGGATTGAGGGCACCACACAATGAGATAATTGGTTTAATGAGACTTTCACTTTTAAGTCATTGTGACACACCTAGGACGACTGTGGGGACCCCATTTACAGAGGCTGGGGGCTCGGAGAAGTAAAGGGAGGGACCTTCTAGACATAGCAGTGGAGCTGCCATTTGGACCCAGGCCTTAGCACCATGGTCAAACCCCATGTGCCAATGGACTTGGTCCTTCTTGGGATCACTTGAACTCTGTTACCTGCCCTTCTATCTCGGGTTGGGGAGCAGGTGGACATCTCCGTCAGCCTGAGCCATTCTTCTGGTTCCAATCAATGTGCTACATGTTGGAGACATAAACTGGACTAAAATACCGTGTTGCTGATATGACCTTCACTGATTGGGAGTGAGAGCAGATGTGTAAGTAATCGCCTCCCTGAAATAATGGCTGTGGAGGACCAGAGTCTCTGATGGGCAGAGGAGGAGTTTAACCTCAGAGGGATCTGGGAAAGCTTCTTGGAGTCTTCATTTGAGCTGAGACTGAGGTACCAGTAGGCATTCATGTTATGCATGTGAAGGAAAAGGCCACCGGGTATAGGTGACATTATGTACCACTGCTCAGTTGAGACAGCATGACAAGTGTCAGGAACTGTAACTGGGACATAAAGCATGATTTTGGACAATTTGGGAGAGTGGTGAGAGTCAACCAGAGGCTGAAGTTTAAAGGGCTTGAACAGCCATGGCTCAAGTTGTCTATATTTTACCACATCATATAGATTAGTGGCTCCCAGCCTGCTTATTCAGAATCCTCTGGAAAAAATTTTTCCCATCCAAATTACGCCAAATCGGAATCTCTAGGGGGGGATATGCCATGAAACTCCAAGGGTGTGAGCTTGGAAGTTAATTTTAATTTTATGTTATTACTTTTTATGAGAAGGAGTCTCACTCTGTTGCCCAGGCTGGAGTGCAGTGGTGCGATTCGGCTCATTGCAACCTCTGACTCCCGGGTTCGAGCAATTCTCCTGCCTCAGCCTGTGGAGTAGCTGGGGTTACAGGTGCTTGCTATCATTAATCGCTTATTTTGTTTTTTTTTTTTGAGACGAAGTCTTGCTCTTTTCCTACAGGCTGGAGTGCAATGGCATGGTCTTGGCTCACTGCAACCTCTGCCTCCTGGGTTCAAGTGATTCTCTTGCCTCAGCCTCCAGAATAGCTGGGATTACAGGCACCTGCCACACCTGGCTAATTTATGTATTTTTAGTAGAGATGGGGTTTCACTATGTTGGCCTGGCTGGTCTCGAATTCTTGACCTCAGGTGATAAAGCCCACTTTGGCCTCCCAAAGTGCTGGGATTACTGGCGTGAGCTGCAGCTCCCGGCGCCTGGCTCCCGACTGGAAGTTTATTTTTAGCCACCTTCCCCAAAAGATTCTCAAAGCAGGTCAGTGTTTCCCGTGCGCTGACTTAGGCCTGAGGGCAATGATAAGAAAGA